TATTCGTGAAAACCACCAATCGCATCATTACGCGGAGCGCCTTACTATTAGCCAATTAATGAACCTTCATACGATGATTTGAGCTTAAAAATGAAATTTTTGGACAAACTGCCTTATATTTTCGGACGGAGGAAGTAATTTATATCTTAGCAATTGTCCAGTAAGTTCTAGTATTCGGAAACGATGTGACAAACTTATCATACTAACTATTAGTAAGCCTGTAGACACGCACTAATAGCAACCAGTACCGTCAATCAGTTCATTCTCTGATTTCCCAGGTCGAAATGAATCTACGAGCGCTTGTCATGGCACTCCTCACTCTAGTTGCTTGTACTACGGCGACCGTCGACCATGACAAGATCGAGCCTTTTCCTCAACCCGAGCAAGTTACGATCTCTGAAAAGGCCGCCATCAAGTTCAAGCCACAACTGGGCTCTACGAAAATCGTTTCGGAAAAAGTTTGCGTGCCGTATCCTGCCGTAAATGCTGCCGGTGAAGTCACCGGCGGACTCAAGGAGACGAATGGGAAGTATACGGTGCACTCACAAAAAGACTTTCCTGGACCCTCCTGACCTTTAGACGAGCGAAAAGTTTGTCGGTTGCTTTTTGATTGTTGGATGAGAATTTTTCTTTGATGCTTGTTGCGATGTTCATGCAGCTTCTGCGAGTTAGCCAAACCTTCCACCCCGGGAAGTGTTGCACCCGTTTCTCTCCTCAAAACCGCCATCGTCTTGATCAAGCGATCTCTGTTTGTGGTTCCTCAGGTAGGTTTGATTATCCACATTGCCGCGTGCAAGTATGCTCCTAAGGGTTCACAGGTTTACGGTCGGGCACGGTGGCACAAGGACCTGTGGGCCATTATGTACACGTGGTATTTCCCAAAGGGTTTTTGGATGGGTTTCCCCACGAGACGCCATGACTGGAAGAGCGTCGTCGTGTGGATTGACAATCCCTCCTTGGAGGAGCCTAAGATTGTCGGAGTCTCCATGTCTGAGTCCGACACGAAGTACAACAAGGAGACTAGAATATGGCCTTCCAATTTTGTAGTTACGGAAATGGAAGGATCAAGATCCCACCGCACATACATTAACGGCTCGAACACGTCTTTCCGATTTCAGAACCAGATGCCCATGAGCTTGAAATTAGCTCAGGACTTGATCACGTGGGAGCAACTCACAGATGCAGCCCGTGTTGCTCTAAACGATAATGCCAAGTTTGGGACAGCCGAGGTCCCATTCAGTGACACACACTATGAGGATCACCTCGACAATGCGTGGCCGCTCTAACGTCAAACCTGCGCCTTCTCAGGATTTTAATCCAGTAGTGTTACAGCGATCTGAACGGTGGTCTGTAGTCTTTAAAGATGGTATTAATACCTGATGATAATGGAATTCCATCCGAATGCTACAATTAGTTAGGTGATTCTGCTTGTAACTCATTACACAGTAAGCAGAATGACGGTCGTGAAAACTCACATTTATGAGCAACACCGGTTTGTCGGTGTAAAATAAATCAGAGCTAAAGAGCTTGGCAAATTTATATATCAGATGTAAAGACCATTGCCAATATATGTAGGTACTTATGTCTGCCAGAATGAGGTCCGATGGATGCGAAAGTGATAGTGAAGTACTCGAATATATATAGCAATAAAACAAAAATTGCTGTAATATGTATTATTGCTTGACGCAATATTGCAATCTTTAACAACAAACCCAGACTTGAGTACATTTTTTTTACTATATTGGTGAGCCCTGGCTTTATCCTGACCAGGGTATTATAATATTAGTGTCACCGCACCATTATCGTGCACTGCCACCACCGAATATGGCCCTTTGGCCACTTCCCGAT